AATAAGAAAAACAATAAATTATTAAAATTGATTTTTTTATCTTTTAAATTTAAATAAATAAACAAAATAAACTAATGTTTTTAACTTGAGAATTTTGAAATAAGAAAGTAAGTCCATTAATGAAATTGATATTCATTTATTACTACATTTATTGTAATTATTACACATGTGGAATTTATTAAAATAGAAAAACCCATAAAATGACATGTGGAAAAGAAATTAATTCAAAATAACCACAAAATGACATTTGGCAAATTGAATGAGAGTGTGACATGTGGCAAAAAAACATTCATTTATTAGAGTAGATAGGACAATGGAAACGACAAACAAGTCTGATCTAAACTCGAAATCTGTAGGATCTAAACTCAACTAGTTTATGCAACTTATTAGAACTCTATAGAAAAACATACATTTGATTTCATAGTTGGTTTCTTCTTTTGTCGAGCCAGTGGAATGGAATAGAGAATCAAAAGGAGAGTTCATATTCTGTGATCGCACCAAAGACACAAACAAGAAACAAATCCAAGCAACCCTCGAACTTCCATCTCAAACATAATCGAAATCTCAATTTTGTTCTTCGATCATGACGTGTGGATCAAACGACCACAACGTGGGAACGACTATTCGGGATTATTTAGGGTTTTGAGAAATCCGAACTGTTGACAACTGAGAGGTATTTTCACATGTACCAAAACCGGATTTTGAGTCCTTTATTTATAGGGAGGTGATTTGAAACCCTAAAGATAATTACCAAATACGATAGTAATTATCTATGGTATTCAAATCATTCTGGAATATTCCATATTCCATTTATTTACTATTAATTAATTAACAAAACAAGTCCTTCAAATAAATATCTTTTCAAATCTGCTTCATTTTGTTCTTGCATGTAATGTAACCCAAAAGGACATTGTTATTTAATAATGATATTATCGGGCTTTGTTCTGACTATGGACACTAATCTCCATCAACTCGCACTTGCACTTAGACATTAACTATTGACATGTCTAATACTTACTAAGAATAACAGTGAGTGGCAGTCCAATGCAACTACTGTACTTATAACAACTTTACTATAAATAGTCCTAAGATTAATAACTTCAAATTCCTTTTTGATATGCATGATATCTTATTATGAACTAAAGTCATGGATCAACGGTCAATATCAGGTGAGCAGTTGGGTTGAGGCGGTAGGTCAACATACCCGGGGAAATATATTCTTTGTGGCTGTGGGCCCGGGGGCAATCCAGTCTTCGTGACAGAGGGCCCGGTGTGCATGCATTGCATGTGTACTGTGGTGTGTGGTATTTTGGGGGAACTCGCTAAGCTTTGGCTTATAGTTGTGGATTAAATGTTTTTCAGGTACCATTGGTGATCGTAGGAAGGCGAAGGCGTGACTATACACATATATCAGCAACAATGGAGATTCAACATTATCTATCTCACTCTGATTTATAAACATCTGTATTTGGAACAAATGGGTTTTCTTAATTTGGATTTTGTAATTTGAAGTTTTACCTTAATTAAAAATGAAAATTTTGTTGTGAAAATGGGATGTTACATGTCTTTTAAGTCTATTGACTTAAAGTCAACAATTAAGTATAAGAGTTCCAATCTTTTGTCTTTTAATTAATCTTATATTTTAATAAAATCTAACTTTATCTTTTAGTATAAAGGCTAGTTTGTATGTGATTAAAATTGAAAAAGATGAGCAAACAAAAATAAAAACGAATTTACAAAAATCTAGAACTTCAGGTCCCACGACGTGGGGATGGATCTGTCACGTTGTGGCACACAGAAAACACACGATTTAATTAAATTATTATTTTAGGTTATCATCTGCAACCACGACGTTATTAAGAGGTGACCATGACGTGGCGATGAAGACAGTCGCGATCCATGTAAATACCACAACGTGGTGGAGGACCAGCCACGTCGTGGCGAAGAGGCAGAATTACTAAAATGTTCTGAACAGATTCAATTTTAATCAAGGAAAATTTCTAGACTTTTAAAATGATTTCAAATCAGAAACCCTACACATACAAACCCTAACATACTCAAAGGAAAAAGTCTAAGTGCAATAGACTTGAGTTAACACACTCTGATACCACTGATGGGTTTTGAGCCTCATTAGATCAAACATAGGGCAACGGAAACGATAAACAAGTCTGATCTAAACTCAAGTAATCTATGCAACTTATTAGAACTCCACAGAAAACATACATTTCATTTCTTAGTTGGCTTCTTCTTTTGTCGAGCCAGTGGATTGGAGTAGAGAACCCAAAGGAGAGTTCTTCTTCTGTGATTACACCCAAGACACAAACAAGAAATAGATCCAAGCAACCCTCGAACTTCCAGTTCAAACAAAATCGAAATCTCGATTATGTTCTTCGATCACAACGTGGGTATCAAACGCCGACGGAGTGGAATGACTATTCAGGATTCTTTAGGGTTTTGAGAAATCCAAACTTTTGACAACCGGGAGGTATTTTCACATGTACCAAAACCGAATTCTGAGCACTCTGTTTATAAAGAGGTGATTTGAAACCCTGAAGATAATTACCAAATACAATAGTAATTATCTATGGTATTCAAAGCATTCTGGAATATTTCATATTCCATTTATTTACTATTAGCTAATTAAAATATTAATTAATTAACAAAACAAATCGGTTAAATAAATATATTTTCAGATCTGCTTCATTTTGTTCTTGCGTGTAACCCAAAAGGACATTGTTATTTATATTGATATTATCGGGCTTTGTTATGACTATAGACACTAATCTCTATTACTATGATCATATGAGAATGATAAAATGTAACAACAATTATGGAGCGATGGATTGAAAAAGGATTAATGATTATGATTGATTTTTGAGTATTTAAAACCTTTTTGAATCAAAAGGATTTAATTATGAAGATGAATTAATTGTGATTCTCATTAGAACCATTGATTATTTTTGATCCGACGCTCCAAAATTGTTCTTACATTCATACAATAGTTATGTTGTTCAAAATAAACTAAGACACACACGTTTGCACAATAGGTTGCATTTTTTGCACCTTTTTATCATGATTTTGTATATCATTTTGCATATTTTATCGTGTGCACATTAGGTTGCATTTTTTTTTGCACCTTTTTATCATGTTTTTGTATATCATTTTGCATCTTTTTGTAGTGTGCACATTTGGTTGCATTTTTTGCACCTTTTTATCATGTTTTTGTATATCATATTGCTTTATACACTTTCACTTCATAATCTTGCATTGCATTACACCTTTGCTTTATACACTTTCACTTCATAATCTTGCATTGCATTACACCTTGGGACTATACTTTAAATTTGGTTATGAGTTACTTTGTGTGAAAGATTTTTAATTGTTGATGCATGATGCAAGAAACGGGGCTTAGAATGAAAAAAAATTAAGAAAATAACAGAGAAAATGATCGAAAGTTAAGTTGTTGAAGGTAAAAAGTGGAGAAAATAAGGAAAATAATTTGACACAACCATATCCCTTTTGACATAGCCACATCACTTGAAGAAATCGTAAAAAGACATCATAATTTGGAATTACACGACCATGTCACCTTTTGATGTTTGCATGAAATGGTCATGTACCATGTAACTTTTTAGGCATAACATGATAAGGTTATACTAAACGTTTGTTTTTTTTCCTAAACATGGATTATTAGTTTTTCAAGTGTTATTTTCAGAAAAATTAAGCTGGTGGGAGTGCTGCTACACTTGTCACAGTCTACATAGGCATCACGTCAGATTTGCCACACCCCTTAAAATTATGACATTTACATGGCACAGGTTGTCACACTTCCCATGGTATTTTTTTTAATTAATTAATTTAAAAAAAACATTTCAAACATACTATTTTTTTTTAAACTAAAATTTCATTAAGTTAAAAAAAACACTTAAAAACAAAACACATTTGAAATTAAAATAATATACACTTAAACTTAAAAAACATAACACACTTGAAATTAAACTAATACACACTTAAATTTAAAAAACGTAACACACTAGGAAAAAAAACTTAAATTAAAAAGACAACGAGTTTAAATTTGAGAGAGTGCCTCACAATTTGCTAAAACTCAACAAGCCAGAAATCTTTGTTAGTTTCAACACGGTAAGTCTCAAGAGCATTCTCTAGCAAAATATTTTCATTTTCACTATTTTCAGCTTAATGCATCACCCTACGAAACACGCTGTTAAACTGAGTTGTAAGTGGGTTTGCGTGCCTTCATTTGTAGTAGATTTCTACTTTACCTCGAGGGACCAAAGCTTTGCGGTTGTATTTTTTGGTGACTCTCCTCCGAAAGATTGTCGTAGGTAGGTTAATGTGGATTGGGTCTTCTGTAACATCAACTCATGAACGAGCTAACAACATCTCTTCTTCAGGGGACCAAACACGAACCACATGAATCATTAGCGATGAGGTTTTGAAGAAGATGAAAATAAGAAAGTTGGGAGAATTGAATTAAGAAAATTTGAATGGGGTGGAGAATGAATAAGGATGATGGTATTTATAGTTGAAGATTGAGGGTTTAAAATTTGAAATTTTGAAGAAAAAAAAAACAGTTACATTTTTTAAATTGGGTGGTTTTTTGAAAAGAATGTATTTTTTTGAAAAAAAAAATTGAGTTAATGGGTAAAAAAATAAAAAGAAAATCATTTTCTCTCTCGTCGGTAAAACATCACCGAGTTGCCAAGTCGAGCTCAGCATGCCTCGGCCTCGGCCCGGTGAACACCAAGGTGGATAAAATGCCGAAGCCACTACGGTGAACTCTTAGTTTGATCATTGTACATCAATTTTTTTTATTTTTCAATTTTTATCTTATTATCTTTGATCGACCAAGAAGGTTTCTTCATCATCAATTTTTATCTTATTATCTTTGAAGACTGTTTAAAAACAATTGCCAGAACAAATGTTGCAACTTAACAAAGATCACATTCAAAAAATGTACAAGAAACTCGTTTGATATTATCTTACATGTACAGATAATGTCTAAAACTTTGTAAAGTTTCTTCATCATCAACTTTTAGTTTTGTTAAAGCTCTTCTTTCTATTCTTCGAATCCATTCTTTGCTTACACCATACAACCTTCCAATTTCTTCAAGTGTCTTCCTTTGATACCCTTTAAGCCCAAATCTTAAAGCCAACACTTTCCTCTCCCTACTGTCCAAATCTTTCATCCGGCTATATATTTCATTAATCATATAATTCTTCATTAAGTTTTCTTCAGGAGTCATTGTTGTCAAATCAGGTGTACATTCCTACACAAAGAACACCCAAAAATGTTCATTTTTCAAATTCCATGTACATTTGGAGAAATAGTGGAGATAATTTTTCGGGTATTTTCTATTTTTTTTATATATATAATGAAGTTAAGAAACATACGGACCCAAAACTTTGCATCAATACCCTGTCCAAATGGTTGATTGATGGAGCCAACAACTCTAAGGCATTTGTTAGCAGATTCAATCTTAGCCAATGAAAGACCCGTGAATTTGGCAATCTCACAAGCATTTGGGCATCTTCCATCACCATTATCGAGTGCTTTTCGAGCTTTTTGTATCCGACTTATAGCCTTGCTCATTGTGAACTACAAAGATACAAAAAAAGTGTGAATTCACAACTTCAAAATGGAAGAAAAATGATAAATGGAAGAAAAGAATGACATACAGGAATTCGTATCTCTCTAGCATGACGTGATAGCAACATTAGCAATGATTTTTTTATCCAATATTGTACATAAGTTGAGAATTTGTATCCTCTACTTCGGTCAAACCGTTCTGCACCTTGAAGAACACCAACATTTCCTGCCTAAAATTGTGTAAGCAAATCTTTATTCACTAAAAATTAATAAAATGACAAAACTACAAGTGCTTTTCTCTACTTTTCCAGTTTTCTATGTAAGCAAATGCAATAATTTTTTTTTTTAATAAATAAAGAAAACCTGGATTAAATCTTTGAAGGCTATTCCTTGACCATTGTAATTCTTTGAAAGATAGATAACCAAAGATCGTGTACTTCTCAAAAGCTCATCCCTACAACACCAACCGAATTGCAAGTTTTCAAGCAACTCTTTCTTGTCAACTCCTGCAGCTTCTGCCCAACTACTAAAACTAACCATGGGCCCCACTTCTTCTAAAATCATTCTAATCCTCTCCAACTCAGCAACCACCTGCATATTCATTAAACTAAATGAGAAACAATACGGATCAAAAATTCTTACAAGTAAAAGGCCTGTTTGATAACCTCTGAATGATTGGAATCATTCAGAGGTCACCTTTGAATCATTCAGCATTCTGAATGGAATCAAAAGCCTCTTAATGGTTAAGGAACCCTACCTTCTCTTAACCATTAAGAGGTTGGAATCAATCAACACTAAATGATTCTATTTTATCAAACAGACTCTTAACAAATAGGTTTGGGACTAACAAAATGTGACATTGAAAAGTAATCTATTGGAGTTTGAAAAGTCAAACCTTAACACCTTGTGATAGCTCTGCCTCGTTTCTAGTGAATTTGAGTTTTCCAATTTTAGAATTTGATGATCTTTTTGAAGAAAAGTTGACACGTCTTGAATTTTTACGGGTGATGGGTTGTGAGTGAAATTCCACCATGCAAACATCATTGGCTTTTGTTGATGTTCGTTCTCTTTGTGACTTTCTTTTTATCTTTCTTGTAGATGGGACAACGGGCTTGACAGTTTTTTCGGTTATAGAGTTAGATGGAAATGGGTGGTGTTTGGGTATTTGAGAGAAAGAAGTATGCAAAAACTTTAAAGCTCCAAGCTTTTCTAATTGAAACAATATGTCTTGTTCTAGTGTTACCACATCTGAATCAGCAAATGTATCCTCCAATGCAACAAGATTTTCCAAGAGTAATCTATATTGTGATATCTTGTTTGCTTGTAAGCTTGTAAGGAATGTTAATTTATCCTCTCGTAACAAATTTTCAACATTCTGAAAGATCAAATGATAGAGTACAAAAATCAAGAAATAAGCATCGACTATAAAGAAAGGTTTAAACTTTTGACATTTGAGATCAAACACATTAATTAGAATTAAGCTTCATGGTTACTATAGAAAGATATTGGTGTTGATTAATTTCTATGTAAGTATCAATATGGACTTTAACAACTAGTATGTTTGACCTCAGGGTCAACACTGGTCATTTTTCCCTGTCTTTTTGGAATTCGTGCAATAAAATATAAAAAGGAAACATTTACATTGCGAGTTTCTGAGTAATCAATGTCCAAGATTCGGGAAGTAGATGAACATGTTCTTCCACTAAGAGGATCACTGTAAGAAGTCTCACTTTCCATTGATAGAGATGCCCTCGCTAAATCATAATGGATGTCTTTGCTTTTAACTGTCAAAACAAATTCAATGTTTGCAAAAGAAAGTAAGTACTAATCGAAATAGAAAATGGATTATATGAAAGAAAAGAAGTAAAGATACATCTTCGAGATTAAACAACACTAATTCAGTCATGAATTGAAAGAGTATCCATTCAAATAATGGGCAAAAAACATTTCCTTTCTAGGGCACAACAGCTGATGATGAATTCAAGATTGTTGAGTTTCAAATCGGAACAATAAAAAGCTACTGCGATTAAAGATTATGATGTGCGAAATGGAGGAAACATTCAGGTGATGGATGCTTACAGGATGCATATGTGGATGACAAAGATGGCGAGTTGGAAGAGAGACGAGGTTGAACAGAAAGAACCCATTTCAAGTTGATCCTGAAACCCACACCCATGGAGAAAGATACATCAAAAAAAGAAGAATCGAAAGATGGAATTGATAAACAAAGTTGGTTTTGTTTGATTTTTTCAAGGCGTCAGCTCTTGGCCACTGGTTCCCCATCTCAATGTCATACATTAAAAAAGGCTTCCAAAGATTTTCTGACTGGCTGACTGCTGCTTGATAAAATATCTTGGTTAACGAGGAAAAGGATGATTGTGCATTGTGGCATTCGTGGTTGTACCTTGTACGTTTATTTTTAACTTCGCTATACAATTACCGACTTTTGGCTGGACCCGAAAAAACAAACGCGACATCAACAACCCCTTATTGAAAAATGACCAAAAAAAATGTGAAATAGTTTTTGTTTTGTACCTGTTTAGTCTTTATTTTTTTTAATCATTTTTTTATAAAATAAATGATTTTCCCTTTAATTTGGTGAAATAAATTACACATGTGGCGTCCATATGACAGATTACGTAGATAAGAACATATTAATAAAGATGATAACGAGTAATTAGGTTCGCACCTCCATTACGCCACTTCGCTTCCATCATTCATCTCAAGCTTCTTGAATCACAATCGCAATAAACCATATGACATAATATGCAAATCCAATCTTGAATATACACTATAATGACACGTTTACACCTACCCTATTAATGTTAATGTATTTTGATGCAACCAGAGCTTCCATACAATACATGGGTGTATACAAGTTGACCTTCCCCGATTTCATCTCCTTTCTTTAAAAACTTATTAACGACAAGTGCAAAGATATGTATTATTGTCTACATGAAGTAAGTTTGGTTGAAGGATTGCATGTCATACAGAATGATTGTGATTTTAATGAGTTTCTTGAAGCTGCCAATGGAAATAAGAGATTGAATTTGTATGTGGATCACTATCATAAACCTTTGTTTGATTGGATTCAGGAGGAAGAAACAAACCTTGAAGATGATGTTGACTCCATTTTAGAAGATGGTGAGAAAGGTGAACATGAAGATGATGATGAAGTTATATCTCTCAAAAGAAACTCCAATGATCACTTCCTGAACAAACTTTGTCCGGTAGAGAATGATAGTTGGTTGAAGAAGATGAGAATGCAAAATGATCATCTACCCAAGACATGATCATACTCAATAATGGAACAAGATGAGGCCTCAATTAGGTATGAAATACTATACTAGTGTTAACTTAAATCCTCTCTTAGTTGTTATGCTGTAGCAAATGGTTATGACTTTGGATATGAAAAGAATGACAAGAATAGGTTGTTAGTTAGGTGTTGTAAAGGAAAAAAAATCCAACATTCCCTTTTAGATTATGTGTGTAACATCCAAAAATTACAGTAAACTTAAACTTTTAAAAATTCTATTTATTTAATATAAAGTACAAATCATTTCACCATTTAACCAAAACCGTTATCTTTAACTAGAAACAACCATAACAATAAAATTCAACTATGCTCCAAAACCCAACGATCTAAAGCAGCAAAATAAAGTCAATCAAGTCAACACCCATAATAAAACATCAGGTCGTGCCCATGTGTATAGTCACACCTTTCCTTTCCCTTTTTCGGTGTTTGATGATCCTAATATAGTTGTTTATAGAGAAAGGGTAAACACGAAGCTTAATGAATTCCAAGACAACATCAGACATCAGTAATATGTATTTTACATCTACCACACAGGTATATCAAGATGCCATCAACTTCTAATCTAAGCATAAAAACAAATAAACAAACAGTACAAGGCACTTACTAGCTAAAGTCTAGCATAAGGGCACTTACCAGCTCAGGTTACATACGGATCGGTACTTACAGGTCACATTAGCACATTCTGAGCACTTACAGCACAAGTACAATCTACATCAAACATGAAAATAACATACACATACTAGACACCACACAACCTAATGTCATTCCTAATAATCAAATATCACACACGATCTAATGCAAAGACATACACGTCAATGTAATGCAGTGAGAAACTCACATCGAATCGAATATAGATGACAACAAGCAACACCAAAGCTCCAATGAAATCAAGGTACTTCCTTTCCCCCTATAGAAGTTTTATAGAGCATTAATAAGCAACCCTTAGCCCCTAATTCAACTAGTTAGTCCCTAGATTCGTTTTCAGCCTTTAACAACAAAACTGCAGTATGTTCAAGACATGTTCCTCCTAAACCTATTCAATCAAGATTATTATCCCATATTCAGAAAATTTAGCTCAATATCTTTCTAGGGATATATTACACTAAACCCATTTTTTTTATTTAATATGAATTTTACAATCAAAGCAGCTAAAATTTGACCAATTAGTGAAAATGACATTTTTCATCCAGTTAGAGCCATCAACGGGTCAAGGAAAAAATTACGGAGTTACTAAACTCAATTTCTAAACTTTGGGCACTGACGTTTCTGAAATCCGAAATTCCATGACTTTTCTATAATTTTTACAAAATCTGGACAGATTTGGCAAAACACATAAAATCACAGCTTTGATTAGTTTGGCATCTTAACCCATTAAGTAATTAAGAAATTGACTCAAAAGCTGGAAAATAATGAATTAGTAGGGACTATAATGCATTTGGTAAAAAATGACAATTGGAATTTTAAACCACAACCCAAAGTACAATGTCTAAAGAGAAATTACCAAATAGGGCTTTGGTACAAAAATGACAACATACTATTGTTTTGTTTCATCAAAAGCACCCAACATCCAATTAGCAACCAACCATTGCCACCATTGAGTCTTGGCACTGTGGCGGTGATAAGGTGGTTGTGAACCACCAACGTATGGCGACCATGACGGAAGCCATGGTTGTTGAATTCTATGCAAAAGAAGGAAATGAGTGAGAAAAAGGAACAAAGATCTTACCCCGAAGCAAAGCAACACCCTCTACTTCTGTTTATTTCTTCTTTGGCCAACAAGAGGTCTGATAGCCCCTTTTTTCCTCTCTCCTGATCGCACACCTCCCCTCTCTTTTGATTCCCTCTTTTTTTTTCTTTTTTCTCGGTCGAACACCACATGCATGTACACAAGTATTAGGTTTGGGTTAAGGCTTAATTAGTTGGGTTTTTGAGGGCTTAGGAAGGACCGATTAATGCATGTACATGGGTTGCCACATAAGGGGAAAATCATGTAAGAATAGATGCCCCATGCATAAAATCCTAAAATTATATAAAATGTCCTTACACTTCCACACAAATAATTATTTAGCCCCTCCGCCCAAAGTCTTACATTTTAAGATTTTTATAAATTCCTATTTAGTCTTTAAACTATTGTCTCTTTGCATCACAGGATTATATTTTGACAATTTCAGCTCCTCATCTTTAAAAAAAATATGGGAATTAAAATAATTAAATATGAAAATATTAACATACTGGAAAACAGGATGTTATAGTGTGCATCTTGGATGAAAAAGGAAGATACTTTTCAGATTAATTCACTTCTATTAGTGTACAAGTGATCAGTGGCATTCAAACTTGGTTCAATTGTAACATATACGTGGATATGGAAACAATTTGTGAATGATATTTTAGAGAGGCCTGAATTAAGTTTGAGGAAAATGAAATCCCTAGTATCCAAGAGATACACCATTAATATGAGTGCGGTGTAGGAATGCAAAGAAGTTTGCATTGTCTAAAGTTGAAGGATGTTTGAAAGAACATTATGCCATACTATAGGATTATGCAGCTGAAATGAAAGCCCAAGTAATCCAACTGTACCTAGTGGAGCAAGTGCAAGTGGATCCAAATCAAAGAGGGATACTATAGCTCCAACTCAATCAACTCCAGCTTCAAGCACTCATATTCTTATTGTTAATGAAGTTATTGTGAAGAAAACTCCTATGAAGAAGGTTCTTGTAAAGGAAATTCATGTGAAGAAGGTCCATATGAATAAAACTCATATGAATGATGTTGGTAGGGTGAGAAAGTATTAAAAGAGAATCACATAAATTGGTTTACAAAAGAAGGTTGTTGTGAAGGATGGGAGTAGATCTAGTCAAAACAAACATGTGACTTTAGAGTAATTAGGGCTTGGTTGTTAATATTGATGTAGTGGGTTAATATTTTGAACTTAATTATTATATTACCCCTACTGGTTTAATCTTTTGATGTAGTGGGCTAGTCTTTTGAACTTAATTATTGTATTACCATACTAGGTTAATAGTTTGATGTAGTGGGATAATATTTTGTAATTATTAAATGGTTGGATGCTTTTTGTCTGCTACTTTTGTTTGTCTTTACGTCCATTGTCTAGAAAAAAAAAGATTTCCTATAATTTGTCTTGGTTTTATACAAAGGATTCATCCCCCTGCAATATATCTTAGTTTTAAACAAAAGAATCGATTTGCTCCCTAACTGTTTGGTACTCTTAATCTAGTTGTCTACTAATTTAATTTACCATTACATAAACATCCATGAACATCCATTACATCAACATCCATACATAATAGCAATGCACTTTCTTAATTTGATGAATATAAAAGGGCAATGTAATTTACCATTAGATAAACATACATTACATAAAAAAACGATTACTGTAAGAACCTGAAATTTAGAGATATTTTACTTTTAGTCAAATATTAACCAAAAAGAGCAAAATGGTCATTAGTGAGAATTTAGTAAATTTATTGTAACGTCCCAAAAACCATTGTAAAAATTTACATTTTGTAACTTCATTTCCATAAAACCATAAGGTATCCAAATCATTATTTCAAAAAATAACCAAAAAAGAGTGTATCAATTACCTCTTTCAAACATAAATCAATAGGCTAATGTGTACAATCACTTCGTCGCCTTCCCCTGCAATCACTTCTTCGCCCTCCCCTGGTCCTCTAAAGTAACTACAATATTTAAATACACAACTGTAAGCCAAAGCTTCGTGAGTTCCCCAAACTACTCCACACAACAATACACATATAATGCATGCACATATGAGCTTACAGTCTTACTGGACCGCCTCACAAGCCCTACAGTACACCTGGACCGCTCTCCTTAGGCCTACAGTCTGACTGGATCACCTCGTAATGCCTACAGTACACCTGGACCGCATGGATATCTTGGCTTACAATACAAAGCAGGACCGCCTCAACCCAACCACAATATGTCGACATATACATATAAACAATAACAGGCACATATAGGTAATTATAACAAATCTACCTACATAACATATCATTGCAGCATAACAACATCCTATCCCCAAGGATACATAAATCACTATGGCACAACAACATCCTACACACAAGGATAAATACTACAGTACAAAGTATAGTGAGCAAACGCACCTTGCAGTCTAGCAGATAAATAGTACAGCTCACACGAATCCAAGAACCGGTACTATGAGTCACCTATACAACAAACATGGACCAATCCTCAATCTACAACCCAAAACCCTCAAGTTGGCCAAAAGTCAACTTTGTCAAAAATCTAACGGTCAAAGTCAACGACCAAAAGTTCATCAGTAGATCACCACATCGTGGTGTAACGCCTAGATCCCTGGTATGCATTTAAATATTTATTTAATCATTTTCATGAGGCAACTCGACGAGTTGGTAGCCCTAAACTTGTCGAGTAGAGATTGAGAGGGACGCGGGTTTTGAAGTCTACTCGACGAGTTGGGAAGCCCGACTCGACGAGTAGGACTGCTAGAATGAAACCCTAATTTTAAGGGTTTGACCCCCTATTTAAAGAACATAACACCCCATTTTGGCCTCCCTCATCGTCTCCCATTGTACATAAAACCCTAATCTGTGAGCTTGAGCTTTGTGTGAGTGTGTGGACCATTTTTGAGTGATTTGGTGTGATTTGACTCTTGTGGGAAGAAGAAGAAGCTAGAGGACTCCAAGAGAAGGTTGTAGATCCAGGAGCAACATCACTTTTCCTTCACTTTCTGGTAATCAAGTCTATACCTTGGCCATTTGTTTTCTAGATCTTCTTATGGGGTAGTTTAGGGCTTTTTGGAGTACATTTTGGAACCATTCATGGATGCAAGCTTGATTTGGTGTATCAACTGCAGATCTAGAGTCTTTGAGGGACTCCATGGCATAAAGTTGCCAACTTTATGGCCATGGGAGTCCCATGCACCTTATGAGCCACCTTTTTGGAACTTGTGAGCTAAAA